AATGCCTGAGGGCAAAAAAAAGGAGCTGTACAAACACTGGAAGCAAGGGGCTATCACCAAGGAGGATTACACCTCCATTGCTCGGGACTGCAGGGAGGCCATTAGGAAGGCCAAGGCAAAGATGGAGATAGGGTTAGCAACCAGAATTAGGGATAATAAAAAGTCCTTTTTCAAATACATAAGGAGTAAGAAGAAGGCACCAGGTAATGTGGGGTCCCTAACGGACAAGCTTGGCAATCTGGTGATTGCAGCAAATGAAAAAGCTGACCTCTTGCAAGGGCTCAGCAGGGGAGGTAATGCTCAGGGGCAACCAACATGGGTTCATTGAGGGCAGATCCTGGCTGACTAACTTGGTTTCCTTTTATGATCAGGTTGCAAAGTCCTTGGATGTCAAGGTGGATGTTGTCTTCCTGGACTTTAAGAAGGCCTTTGACACTGTTCCCCACCACATTCTCTCAGAAAAACTAGGTGACTGTGGCATTGATGCCTACACAGTCAGATGGGTGGTAAATTGGCTAGATGGTCACACCCAGAAAGTGGTGGTGGATGGGTCATTTTTGACCTGGAGGGATGTGGGCAATGGAGTCCCCCAGGGCTCGGTCCTGTTCAACATCTTTATCAGCAATCTGGATGTGGGGATGGAAAGCACGCTGTCCAAATTTGCTGATGACACCAAGATATGGGGTGAGGTGGGCACACTGGAGGGGAGGGACAGAATCCAGCTAGATCTAAACAGGTTACAGAGGTGGGCAGATGAGAATAGGATGGAATTCAACGCAGATAAGTGTAGGGTACTGCATCTAAGGGGAAGGAACCAGCAACAAACCTATAGGCTGGGGAACACCCTTCTTGTCAACACGGTGGCAGAAAGGGATCTTGGAGTTAGGGATCCAGGATGAACATGAGCTGCCAATACAGGGCAGCAGTCAGTAAGGCTAACTGCACCTTGTCATGCATCTACAGACACATCACAAGCAGGTCCAGGGAGGTGATCCTCCCGCTCTATGCAGCGTTGGTCAGGCTGCAGTTGGAGTACTGCATCCAGTTCTGTGCACTGCACTTCAAGAGGGATGTGGCTAGCATTGAGAGGGTCCAGAGGAGGGCCACATGCATGGTCAGGGGGCATTAGGCCAGGTCCTAAGAAGAGAGGCTGAAGGACCTGAATATATTCAGCCTTCACAAGAGACGGCTGAGAGGGGATCTGGTGGCTATTTACAAGCTCACCAGGGGGGACCAGTGGGAAGTGGGTGAGGCTCTGTTCCCCCAGGCACCACCAGGGGTTACTAGGAATAATGGCCACAAATTGCTAGAGAGAAGGTTCAGACTGGACATCAGGACAGATTACTTTACAGTTAGGGCTGCCAGGCTCTGGAATGGATGCCCAAGGGAGGGGGTGCTCTCTCCATGGATGCCCAAGGGAGGTGGTGCTCTCTCCTACCTTGGGGGTATTCAAGAAGAGGCTGGACAAATATTTGGCTGGAGTGTTATGACCCCAGCACTTGTTCCTGCCCAGGGCAGGGGGTCAGACCTGATGATCTGTTTAGGTCCCTTCCAACCCTAAGCACTATGAAACTATGAAACTATGACTGAGGAGAGCCATCATCCATGCCAGTCCTGGCCATATAGTAAACCCTGCCTGGGGGAGAGGGCCTTCCCTGCCCCAGCCCCTGTCCCCAGCCCCATCCCCACATGACCTGCTCACACTCCCCTTGCCCTGGGTTCCACCCCACAACACAGAGAGGCAGGAGACAGTGCCAAATTTATTGAGCAGCAAATGACCCCACAGCTAAGCAGGGACAGGCTTCTCACATGTTGAGGAATGTGTCAACCTGTAGGAGGAGGCATAGGGGCAATGGGGTCTGGAGCTGCCGCAGCAGGTGCTGGCAGGAACCTGGCCTGCCCTGCCTTCGAAACGGGGCAGGGGAGGCATGCGGCCTCAGGCTAGCACCTAGTGGCCCACCAACCCAGGGGGGTAGGTGGGAATGGGAGGCTCAGCCAGCAGATGCCTGGGCCTGGGCCTGTCCACCTGACATACCATGGATCCTGGGCACCCATGTATGTCCGATCCCCAATCTGAGGCTGGGCACTGCATGGCCCCTGGTACAGAGCATCTTATCTCAGAAATGTTGCCAAGTCACACAAACAGTTTTTTTCTCATGGGTCTGCAAGCCCTGCAGCTGCACACGGGGGAGAGGCCACTCTTGGCAGCTTGGAAGAAGCCTCAGGGTCACCAATACTCACAGCAGGGGCCCTGTGGATGTGCTGTCTCTGCCAGAGGAGGATCCTGGACAGGACCCTCCTCCTGGACCACCTGGTCATGGCACCAGAGGACTGACTCGCAGACATTTGGGCCTGGCTGGAAGAGGACATGGCCTTCCAGGACAGGTGACAGGTGGAGGATGTGACCTGCGAAA